GGGAAATTAGCTTACTGGGAAAAAGAAGAAAGAGAATAAAAGAGGAAAGAGGTAAAGAAAATAAGAGAAGTTAAAGAAAATAGAGAAGAAAAGTGAAGAGTTAAAAAGAATAGAAAAGGATAAGAGTTAAAGAGAATAAAAGAAGTTAAAGAGAATAGTGATTATATGAGTGAAAAGAGAAATAAGAAAAGGGAAGAGAATAGAGATGATATGAGTTAAAAGAGAAAAGGAGCCGCAGATTAGGACCAAAGCCCTCTGGGAGGCGGTGTTAGACGGGCCTAAAATCCTGGAAAATCACTAGGTGAATTTCTGGGTCAGTTCTAAGGAACTGGGGGTGTGAAAGGAAAGTTCAATTATAAAGTTCCCACTCGAACACTAGTTGACGAACAGTGTCTGAAGCAGCTTTTTATTGAATATTCACACCTCATAAAGGTAGCAAAAATTTAGAAGAAAAAGGGAAAGAAGGAGCGGCGGAAAAAGCATGCTATAGGATCAGTATGAATGAGTCGACTTTCAGATTGAGTGTTGTTCTTTGTCTTCTGTGTGTTCTGAGCTCGCTGTGTGTTTCTGTGTGAGGGGGAGTGGCCGCCCCTTACTGTGTGTGTGCGGACCTGGGGTTCTGTGAGTGTGAGTTGCTTGACTTGGCTGTGCTCCAGCTGCGTAAATGGCTTTAAGACTATATAAATGATAATTTAAAAAAAAACATATGAGCCTCTAAAGAGGACGTTTTTAGACTTAAGATAAAGTTAAGATTTATGAGCCTCATAAAGAATAAGAGGACTTTTATAAATTAATTTAAAAACATTCATGAGCCCCCAAGAAGGACGTTTATAATTTGGAGAGGAGTGGAGAGACCAGTGAGGATGTTTGTGTGTATGGGTAAAGAAAAATTTAATAAGTATTATTAATAAGTATGTGAGGTGTTATTAGAGTAAAATAAACTGAAATTTCTATATTGATGATAACTGGGTATGTAAAAGAGGAGAACATTTGGTGTAGATAAGAATGACCTAAGTGTTGGCAAACAAAGGGGTGAATCATATGGGATTGCTTTTTGTGGGGTTAAAAAATACCTAGTGAGTTTATTTGATATTTAATTCTGATAGGTTTCTATGTTTATACACCTATGGGGTGTGTAAGAAGAGGAGAAGGAGAGAGAGGGAGAGAAGAAGAAAAAAAAGATAGAGAGGAGAAGAAACAGAAAAGAGAAGAATAACAGAAAGAGGGATAAAAAGAGAATGAGGAGAGAAGGAGAGAGAGAAAAGGAGAGAGAAAAAGAGAGAAAAGTGCATGTGGAGAGAGAGAGAGAGAGAGAGAGAGAGAGAGAGAGAGAGAGAGAGAGAGAGAGAGGAAGCAGCAGGCCAGTGCTGACACAGAAGGAGGTCTGATGATTTAGGAGGCACAGGGGTCAGCTCATGTTGCAAGGGAGAAGTTAGGAGAAAGATTACAGAGGAAGGTAGAGAAGAGAGGAGATGTTGAAGGGTCAAGAGAGCCAGAAGAAAAGGTGATACAGACACCTGGTATGACATCTTTGAACTTTAAAGAAGGAGTAAATATAACTCAGAAACCTAAGCTAAAAATAGAGCTTAGTGTGAATAGTAGTGAGGAGATTTTGGAACCTAGAGAACAGAAGGAGGAAGAGCATGATGCAGATTCATCTGTGACAGCTCAGAGGACTATTTTAGATGTGGAAGAGGGGTTTTTGACTTTGACTGGACACCAGAGGAAGTGACTGACTAGTAGGGTGTATTACAGAAGAGAGAAACTAAGTGGAAGGCATATGGATTTGATTTCTAGGGGTTACAAATCGCAGACCCAAGGGCAGACAAAAAGGGTTGAGGCAAAAACGAGTGAGTCAAAACAGATGAATAGTCAAAAAGGGGGAAAACACAACACAGGAAATAAAAGTTCAGTAGCTTTAGAAAGAAGCAATACTTTGCACTGAACTGTTCTAAAAGACCAGGTTTATACTGAAGCTGGTGAGAGGTAACAGGTGTAATAGATCAGTACTCAGGAGTCATGTGATCTGCCAGAGGATTCTGGAAGATGGAGTCCAGAGAAACCTCTGAGCCATAGGGATGCATGACAATCAGTAGGAAAAAATGATAACAGTGATCCCTGATCTGTTGGAAGGAAACAAGGGGGATTTGTGGTGATAAGGCATATATATGTCTACCGTATGGGTGGATAGGATATAAGAACCATATATATGCTGTTGGTCATTCTGTTCGGGAGAGGACATTTAGAATTGGCACGAATCCTCTCTCAGGTGCTTTATAGTGCTTGATATGATGCTGTTTTACTATGTAATAGTAATAGTATTAGTATTAGTATTATAATAGTAAATGTAATACTGAGTTTGCTAGCAACTCAGTATTGGCGGAGTTTTTCTTCACAACATCTACACACCATCGCCACTAAATAAACAACAGGAGTAAGAGCGCACTATGCCTGTAGGAGTTCTTTAGCAGTACCACCCGGCAAGCAGAAAGGAATTCATGGTTGTCTGAGCATGTAATCATAATTTAAAGGCAGGATTTTCTCCACCCATCCAAAGTAAATTATGGGCTTAAGTCAGGGTAAACGGGTTCATTGGCTTTTACAGCACATTTTACTTTTTGTTTGTTTTATTTTTTAGCTTTATTCACTTCATTTGTTAACAGGTTTCTAACACTGTATTACAAGAGGCAGTGATTTCTACAAAACTATTCAATGCATTTTTACATGTTTATTAAAAAGGTTGTGATTGCAGTGGGAATATCTTTTTAGAAGTGGTTAAAATGTCTGCGGTCAGAGAAATTAACCTTGATGGTGGGACATTTTACAGATTAGTACTATGAAAGAACATCATGGGATTAGAGTTGTAACAAAAAATGTTCCATCTGCAACACTAAGGATCAAAAATTTCACTTTCAAAATAGCAAACCTCTTGCTTACAATTAACCGCCATATCTTAAAGTCACTGCCTTCAGATACTTCTGACCGCTGAATGCTAAATCCTACTTTTTAATTCTGAGAGCTGTCTTTGAGAAATACAGGCTCTACCTTTTAAGAATTATAAGAATTATAAGGTTCTATCTGCTAATAAACAAAAAAAGGAACAGAACCTTAAACGATGCAAACTCGTCTTGACTGAAAGATATGAAATTAACAAATATAACGTCAGCGGTTACAGTGTAATACAACATAGAACACTGTTTTACATTCACTTCAGATATTTGCAGATGTATAACGGGTCACATATAGAAACAAGAGGCTTCATTTCTTAAAATGTATGTATAGCATGGTAGCTAACTTTAGTATTTTATTTCCTCGCAACCAGATAAAAAGATCATCATATTGGCTGGTATTCCTTTTACCTAGTTAGCTACTTCTTAGTATTAGTACAGCTTATTTAGGTCCTGTTTTCCAGGCTGAAAATTTTGACACTAGTACTGCTAGTAACTGCTTAGAACTTTAAAAGGTTATGTTTTAAATTAAACAGTTGGCAGGATTGCTACACTTCCAACTTACCTTTTACCACTGTTTTTTTGTTAAGCTGCTTAGAAAATATAAAAGCTCATTTTACTTCAGTGGTTTGCAAGTCATTACCATAGCCAGGCAACATCCTGGCCATGTGGGTAAAACATGCATTCTGACTGTGTGTTCTCACATTCATCAGCCATGCTGACTGGAACTGCAGACAGATGTTTAGATCAGTGGAGCTCCCCTTTAAGCTCTGCACCATGTTTGCCGCACTCAGAGAAGCCGCTGTGGGCTTTACATACACTCGCCCTTATCATCTTAGAGCTACACAGCAATACTGACATCTGTCTATATATTGTTCATTTCTGTTTAGTTGTTAAACATGGTTCTTATTAAAAGTGAAAGAATGTCCAGAACAATACGCAATTGTTAATCAACAAAAAAGGTTTACTTAAAGGGGTACTCCACCAATCTTTCAAAAATTCTGCATAATTAAATGATTAAGATGTAAACAAAGTAATTGAGAGAAGTTTGGTTAAAAATACTTAATTCTAGAGGAACTTAAGTCAGAATCGTTTACAGCGGTAGTGATAGGAACCTGACGTCTGAAGAGTTTAAGGCCTCTAAAAGCTACATCACACAAAGTCATTACATTAAATGGTTATGAATGCTCAGCCTGACACCTGAGACATTGTTTTACAGTAGGTTTGAGATAAGTGTTGGCCTAAAATGTATTTTAATCAATTTATTTTAAACTGTTTATGGTGGAGGGACATATTATGGGTGTTCTAAGGCAAAATAGCTCCCAAAGAAAACACTTTTTTTTCAGATTTACCACCATTTTACCTTCAACAGCATTCTTGTGAATGTTGGTGGTTTTGAATAGTAATTAAAATGGCTATATTTGTGTTCCCATCACCTGGTTCCCATCACCACCACGGTAAATAAAGCAGAGTCAGTAAGTTTCTTTACAAATGGACCGTTTCGCATCAAACTGCTCTGAATGACATTGTTCCCATTCCAGCCACTGAATTATGGATTTTCAAAAAGGTATCTTGAGATTTTATAAAGTCACTATTATGCTTATCAAAAAAAATTTATCAGTTTAAAGCAGAATGACACTTACTTGATTATTTTGCTTCCCATTTGTTTCTTTAACTGTAACTTATTCACATTTACATAAGAATTTACTATGAATTATCAGAAGTTAAATATTACTTATTTCATTTGATGTTTTGCTCTCTCAGTACCTGGAGAAGAGCTGGCATATAGCTGAGCTCTGGCAAAAGACAACTTGACACCCCCCATCCCCCACACTTCTCCACATTTATACACTTTGTCTCGAGTCTTTTCACAAAATTATGAGGCAAATGTTGGTTTATTAAAAAGGTAAACGATGAAGAGCTACATAAGTAAGTATGCTTAAAAAAGCTAATAAAGTAAAACAGTAAAAAGTAAAAAGTAAAAAGTAAAACATGTTTCTTAGAGGTTACATATGTTGTGCAAATATAACCAAACATCAGTGGGTAGTGTGAGAAAGTGACTAAATACATAAGAACATAGACTATATAAAAAGTACAAAGACTAAACAGCAGAGTAAAATCTCGATAACCTTCACAAAAGAGGTGACAAACTTAGTGGTGCAAGAACCCTTCTTAGAACAGCTGACATGACAGTAAGGACCTCACTTGGTCACAAAACACCACACCACACACAAAAAACCAAGAAAGCACAATCACAGATATACCACAAAGTTGGCATGTATCTTAAAAGCTTCTTAGAGTTACTTTCACTAGTACAGGATATCTATCACCACAGAGGTGTACAGTAATCTAAACCGATACATGTTGTTAGATCAACAAAATACTGGCTTAAGTAGAAGTAGTCTAAGTAAAAAAATTACTTATAGAAGTCTAATAGTGGTCTAGCAAAAACAGGAATAAAGGATCAGCCTCAAGAACTCCTCACGTACAGAGTTTGCTATAGAATTATAGCAGATTTTCTTAGCACCTCTAAGCACAGGAATTGAGGTTCATTAGGCACTGCTCTTCTCCTTTTGGGTTCCCTTTGGACTAAAATAAAATGCTGCAGCTCCAAGGTGAAAGGACAGCAAAGCAGTCCAGGTGCTGAGCCAAAGGAACAAAATGAACTGAAACACAAAAAGTCTGGGAACCCAGTGTGAATGACTAAAGTATGGTCATCTAAAAATACTCAGAAGGAGTATCCCCTGAAATTTTACTACATTTAACTAAGCAAATGTATTACAATTACTACTCACCTTTGTCTATCACACACAGGTCTGCAGGAGAGCTAACAACATCATGAGTGATTCCAATTATCATAAATCTCAAAAGATTGATTCATTTAAAATTAGTTTTGTATTTGCATGATGATCTTTTATGCAATAGTCTTTTAAAGACTTCAGCTTTTTCCAGAAGTTATGCATATCTTGTTAGTGTTTAGTTATGTCCATTTTTATTCTTTGGCCTTGTGTAAAAACTCTGGAAAATAATCACTGATATCACCGATAGTGGCAGTCCTGCTACTCTACATTTAGCACCCTTTTCTCTAGCAGATTGTTGTACCATTCCTCAGCTGACTGAATGGTATCCCACTACTAATTTGACCACAACTGCTAAGACTTTGTCTCATTGTTTCTCTTTTCACAATTTCCACAATGGCAGCCATTTCTAATGACTCAGAATGTGGACGGTGTACTTAATTTACAGCCTTTACAGGGCTGGGGAGATGCCACTTCCTGAAGCAGGTCTTTGGAGCAGATCCACACAGTGGTACATCACAACGTCCACACTGCCATGAAGTGTCACTCCTCCTGCCTTCCAACTTGCATTGTCTGCACGCTCTCCGACCCCCTTGGATACGTTCAACTACGTGGTCCATTGGGATAGTTTTAGGAGGATCAGAGCTCAGTTGATCATTACAGAGCTCCTCACAGAGCCTCTTCCGAAAAACAAGGTGCGACATGGGTTTTTGTGATTTGACTTCGCACTGCTCTTTGTACAGCAGGTAGGCGTTCACTACAGCCATGTCCATGAAGTGGAAGAAAAAGCTTTTATACCAGCTGTAGGTCTTTCTGCGGGTGGTATAGTTCTGAAGCCTTTGGTCGGACAAATCTACTCCACCCATGTACTTGTTGTAGGCCTTGATTGGTGCTGGCAGGTGAAATTCACGGGCTTTCCAGGTTCCATCAGGTTGTCTCTGCCTTCTTGATACCACATCTCCAGTGTAGGCCTTGTGGATGGTGGAGCAGATGGAGACCTCTTTTGTGTCCATCCACTTCACAAACAAAAGGGGTCCCTGTCTGATCCATCTCATGCTGCCTCGCTCTGAAGATCTGCTGAGACAGTTTTCCTGGGTTCTTGGATATCCTGATCGGTTTGCTCGCACTGTGCCACACGCCCCTATCTTCATCTCGTAAAGGTCCCTGAACAGAGTGGGGCTCGTGTAGAAATTGTCGCAGTATAAAATGTAACCTGTGCCGAGAAACTTAGGATTCAAAAGAGAAACTACAGAATCATAACTTAGTCCGTGGAGAGATTTGAATGGACTTTTACCGGTGCAGACAATGAAATCACAAGTATATCCATTTGCTGAGTCACACAGGACAAACAGTTTGTAACCCCATTTATGGGGCTTGGACTTTATGTACGTCTTCAATCCATTCTTTGCCTTTGTGGGTACCATTCTTTCGTCAATAGACAAGTGTTTCCTGGGATGATAAAAAGCTTTGCAAGCAATTTTCAGGCTTTCCATCAGTGGCCTGATCTTCGCCAGCCTGTCATAGTCTGCTGTTCCTTTTTTGGCATTATTTTCACTGTCTTTGTCTGGGTCGCTGATGTGCAAGCTCCAGCTGATGGCCTGAAACCTATCTCTCCTCATGACTCTCCTCACAAAGGGTGTCTGCCACACATTGTCTGATCGCCAGTAATCTCGGATTGAGGGACAACGAATGACACCCATAAACACAAGAATTCCGCAGAATTTCATAAACTCTCCAATCTCTACTGGTTCCCATTTATACTTCTTGCCTTTTTGTTTCTTTACCTTGGCATTCTTGTTGGTGTTAATGCAGAGACTTGCAATGACATCCTTGGAAAAAAACAGCTGGAAAAGATCAAGTGGTCTATATTCTTCAGTATGCTTGAGAAGATATCCTGGCTTCCGGTTAGGCCGGAATTGAAGTTGGAAAGGCTCAACATCATCCTCATCTACATTCTTCCACCTCTCTGACTTTTGTGATGATTGTTCTTCTCTGATGACGAAATGGCAATAGAGAACATAGTTTAGCTTATTTAATTTTCTGTGTGTGAAAAAAACCACCCACAAAGTTATAAGTTACACTTACTCAGATTCAGACTCGCTGGCGGCTGCTTCTGGTGAGCGCTCTGCTGTAGGAGTCTCAGGCTCTTCGTGTTGCCTGTGAAAACACAAAAAACTTATGAATGATATGAATGTCAAAACATCTGTCTAACAGCAACAACTGGTATATGCCGCTGCTAAGCTGCTAGCTACTTATAGGAGATAGGAGCTGATTAGCATTAGTTAGCTAGCATGGTATCAGCCTGCTCGCCAGAAAACAGGTTTGGCTCTGGCTAACTAAAGCACTACTTACACAAATAATGACAAACCTGAGGGAACAAACTCGAGCAACTTAATGTTGGATGGACAGAAGACGAAATTAAACTTCTGTTCTGTGGCGTTTGGATCTGTAGCTTAATAGCTCACCTAACGGTAGCATAGAAAGCTAAACCCGTTCTGTGGTGTCTGTAGCGTGTAAGCTAATCTCTTAAGCTAATGACAGCTTATTTATTAGGCCAAATGTACTGTTCCACACAGAACAGTACATGCTCAGTTCCAGCTAACCATTGTTCAAATTACACACGTCTACAAAATAAAGACTCATATCTGAGAGCTCAAAGTTGTGCGACTGGTGTTGGTGTGACAGATGAAATCAAACATGTTCTGTGTTGTGTGTAGCTGTTAACCGTCGCTGAGCCACGGTCCTGTGTAGTTTATCTTATGCTAACCATACACTAGCAGACTTTGAAAAGACTTTTGAAAGACTAAAGTCTGACTCCCTCTCACATCTAAAGACAGTGTCATGTTTTTTAGTCACAGACTATGATTTTGCAAAGACTAGGAATCTTGCAGTGTCACTATTTACAAGACTGCAACTAGATTTTTGAGATTATTCCCCATCATGCACCTGGTGGAAATTTACAAGCAGATAAACACTTTTCCTTCCACTCTATAGTGGTACAGATGGGAAGATATGTTGGCTGAATGTGTAAAGATCTGGAACTCAGATTAGTTCACTATAGAACTGTATACTCTGGCAGATCATCACCCAGAATTTTAATTAACCTGTAAAATGTGCAGATACTTTTTTTTTTATTATTTGACATAAAGATTTACACATCAACACAACATGCAGCGATTCAGCAATGTTGACTGGGTGTCATGAACTAAACCATAAGAAACAAACAAACAAAATAAGAAAGCATTCTTCAATAATGGCATTCTTAAAGTCCTCTGCACATTTCCTGACGTGTTACAGGCTCAGTGAACCCGAAATATTAATAATATTAATATTAACAGTTTACATTTAAGTTAATATGATTATTGTATTGAAGTGGAGCAGATTTGCCGTTTTTACAGAGATTTCAGGCACTCACGCATGCATTCTCTCTCCCTGCGACGCGAATCTAACAAGACTCTCATGATTTTATTCTGTCATGGATATTTGTCTGCGACACTGAAAACGCTTGAAAAGTCGTTTGGTGTAAGGCCGGTATTAGGCATTTCCTAGTCCTGATTTAGCAGCACATCAGATGGAAAAAGAAGCCATTTCCACCACGATACAGCGGTGGGAATCAATCAGCTCTACAGTTCTAATCCTGAGGCCAGATTCTTAAAGCTTCATTGAAGTTATGGCTGTGATAGGGTCGCTCTGTGATCAGCGACCTTGCCCATGCTTCATTCTCAAAAGAAGGGTGGGACATCCTGAGGTAGTCCTCAGCATAAACCAGCACAGGTCGAGTCTTAGGTTTAGGACTACTCTGAGGTGGTCCGAAGTTTTACTAAAGTCCGATCACACCCACAGAAAAGACAATCTGGAATAGAAATTCTATCACTAGAGCAGCCAGTTTTGACTGAGGGATGGGAATTGAGAACCACTTCCAAACTGTCTAATGCATCAGAATCGTATACCTCTGATGTTATCAGTTTCTTATATCAATGCCGGCATGTTTTTCTGAGATTTGTGCCTTTCAAAAACTCATGTAGTACCTGCGTGTACTCTGCAGGGAACTTGCAGAGAGGAAGAAGCAATCCAAAGCATGACTTCATTTCATGAAGAAAGGTGACAACAGTGCTACTTGCCATGTCTGTAAAATGATTTTAAATAAGGGTGGAAACTCCAGCAAAATGCTGAAATCTATCCTGGTATCCTTTGATGCATTATGTGCTATAGTTCCAGAAATGCCATATACTTTACACTTTTACGCAACAGTGCCACTGCTTCCCAAACAGGCATGCTGGTACTGAGGGTAAATATTCTGTGTTATAATAACATTAGTGCCATGCAGGTGGGCTTTTACTAGAAAAACCTAAAAACAAATGTTTTACCAATTTTATCAGTCAGTTTTATATTTGTTTTCCAAGTAATTTACCTTTGAGAAAATGAATAATGAATAAAAAATAAGCAGAATCTACAATGTCATTGGCATAAATAATTTTTTTATATTCCCTTCCCCTTGAACGAAAAATGTACCTGCACAGAACCTTTATTTCTGACAGTGCAAGTGTTTCGAGATTCCACCCTCGTTCAAATACTCGAGCCAAGATTAGTGCTTGTGCATGTGAAAGTGTGATGTTAATGACAATGTGAAACAAAGTGAAATGAAGGGGCTTATTATTATTATTTACTGGAGTAATAACTGCTTTAAAGTAGTTTTCATAATTATGTAATAAATATAAAACACAAACGAGGTGGTCTTTGCTCCATTAAATACAAATCAGAAATACTGTACGTGTAAATGTTAACCTATTCTATATATATGTGTGTGTGGGTGTGAAAAATCCGATAAGAAATCTGATAAAGAGAGCTGGAACTTAGCTCAGTAATTACATTTCTTAGTGCATGTGTACTTGGATTTCTTTCAGATTTCTCAGTCTGAGCACAACACAAAATCAAAATCTGACACAAAATCTAATAGTTATTGCAGTTATTGGATTAAAGAGCAGCTACTAGACAACATAATGGTTATAGATGAATGCATACATAAAAATATATGAAGAATAACCTGCACGTCAAGAAAGCAGACATTAAGAAAAATCTGCAGGAGGTTTTTTTTTAACAATTTAATTAAAACCATGACATCCCCCACCTCCACTCCCACCCCGAAGTCCGTATACTAGTAAACCCGCCCTGTGCAGACTTTTGAAGCCCACTTTACCACCCCGCCCACCTCCAGGAGCTCGACGCTAATTGGTCCTTGGGCTTTTTAGTCCCGATTTTAACCTGCCGTGCAGCTGTAAAACGGTGAACATCCGTTATGAAAACAGAAAATCCAGGGTTAGGTTTAACCAAGTTTAAAGAAAAGGTGGCAAAATAATAAATCCTACTTCATGAAGAAGAATCATGGAGTGAAAAGAGCAACACACAAAATCTCTTTCTCTCACACCCACACCCATCCCTACACACGCACACCCACCCCAAACCCAGCATGAATGGCTCTAGTATAAGCTGAAACACGCTCATATCCATTATTAACTTCTCATTTTTTTCATGTCCTAATCGATCTAAACAAACCCACCAAACAAAAGCACTCACGCCAGTCCGGGGTCATCCTGGACCGGATCCATTCCATTGAAAAACATCTCCTCATCGTCGGAAAACCCACTCTCAAATCCGGAGCCCGTGTCTTCATCACTCGAGCTTAAAATCTCGTTAAAGAGATTCTCTGCCGCGGCTCTCCTTTTCCGTGGCGTGGACATGACTGAACTATCAGACCAAACAAACCAACAAACTGTCTTTCTCGAACAACGCGCTTCTGCTCGACTGGGTTCTGCGTGCGGTTTAGGTTACCCGAAGGTGCAAAATAAAGGGGCTCACTGATTCATGAATCGGTTCAGTGAGTCACATAACCCATACATACATACATACATATATACATATATATATATATATATATATATATATATATATATATATATATATATACATATATATATATATATATATACACGGAGCCCTGCTAGTGACATCCAGTGTAAAAAAAAGAGCTGTTGTAAAGGCCTAATTATCTCCTTCCCATGGCTAACTAAGTTGTGGTCATGCATTAGGATCTTTTTCCCACGCCTTACTAAGTCGTGGCCTTGTATTATTTTTTATTTATACGGAATGTCACCAGCAGGCTCTGTAACGTTTTGCGACTGTAGCGGCTATTTTCAGGGCAGCAGTTATTTCCAGTTGTACAAGACTATTATCCCAGGATAAATGTCTCAAGATACTTTCCCAGGATAATTATCTCGAGACTTATAAGGAAAACTCTAGCACTTCATCTCTACTGAAAAGCTTGTAGATTTCTCTGTGTGCTCAGCTATATGAGCCATCCTCTATGGCTGCGTCCAATAGCTGAATTAAACTTTCTTTCCTGTCTGCTTTGCTTTGATTTTACATATAGGACAGCAGATCCAGGACCACTCCTTACAGACCTCCATGTGGTCCAGTGATTTCCTGCTCCCAACACACCTGGTCCAACTAAGTGGTTACTTGAGCTCCTGTTGAAGTTGAAAGTTGTGAAGGCGGAAAAAAAACAAAGGTTCGTTCATTTGTTCGGACGCAGCTTTTACCGATGAAGAAATGACTCACTGAGCCAAAAGAACCAGAACCCGGCGTGGTGGTCCCGCCTCCTACAGGCCGGAGAATCAGTGGGCGTAATGACTGGGGGTCTTTCTTCAGGGATCTCGCATTTTTTTACTTCAGCCAATCAAATACCAGAACTCTGCTCTGCTGTCAATCACATTTTATTACGCCAATCTCTGCGTAATAATCTCTAAACATTCGCCCAAAAAAGGTGGTAACTGCGGTACTATTGGTCAATACAAAGGAAAACACAGCGAGAGCCAGCGACCATGTCCGTGACCATGACCATGTCCTTTGTGTCCATAGTCACAAAGTATCATGTATTTTTGAAAGCACAACTCATTATTGTGTCATATCATTAAAGTTAATCAATAACTTGTTGATAAGAGACCTGGAGGGAAAGCGTATCAGTGTAATATGTTGAAAACTCAGTTTGAAGAATATCTCAGAGGTCAAGACACTTTAACCGTCCGCATAGTTAAATAACTGTATGTACAGTTTAAATACGTCGCTGCTGTCAGAGCAAAACCTTGTATCTCCAAAATTATAACTTTACAGGAGAAGCAAACAACTTACTTTACTTTTAATCTAAGTCAATGGAACCAGACTTTTTCAAGTCATTTTGGGCCGCTTCTTTTGGTCCGTTCATTTTGAAATTTACACAGTGTAGCAGGCATTTTCAAATAATGTCAAAAACTGAAAAACGACAAGATACGAGGTTTTCCTCCAACAACAGCGAAATGAATGTCCGAAAGCGGCCTACATTAACAAAGGCCGAGATCTAACAGAGAGTGAGGCTGAACTGAGCCACACCAAAACAGATCTTGAAAAAATGTAATATAAAACACAATTATTATACACTCCAGGGCTCTGGGTGGGCAGAGAGGTGCCGTCACTGTATTACTAAAAACCCAGTTAAATTGTATTATAACTAGAATGAAATACATGAATGGGTTTAGTTTACTCACCTCTCCCAAAACCAAACATTCAGATTTCACCCAAATCTTTGGTCATGCCTGCTAAAAAAAAAAAACAGCATTGACCAGTATTTGTTGCCTTTGGATGCTGGTATGCTGGTCAACCAGCATGACTGTGATGGGTGACCAGCTAAACCAGCACCAGACAGGCATAAACTGGCTTAGACCAGCATGAAAATGTCTGTATACAAGAAACTGTACATGCACATATGTGTGGCAAACAGCCTCAATATGGAAACAATATGCAGATATACACTCTTTAAAAAGGTTCTTTAGTAAAGGGGATTGTTCTGTATAGGACCATGAGTTCTATATAGAACCATTTTAAGCTTAAGTGGTTCTTTGCATGGTGAAAAGGTTCTTCAGACTGATGGAGAATGTGTTGTATATGGTTCTATATAGAAACATTTTGAAAATGGTTCTATAAAGAACCAAAAAGGTTCTTTAATTATTACAATCTTGACATCTTAACAATAGAGGAACACTTTTAGTGCTATATAGAACCATATACATCATTTTCTTCATTAAATGAATCTATATTCGCTCTTAAAAAGATAAAGTTTCTTTAGTAAAGACAGTGGTTCTATATAGAACCAAGAACACTCGAAGAACTCTTTACATGCTTAAACTGTTCTTTGCATGCTGTAGGTTCTTCAGATTGATGGTGAATGTGTTGTATGTGGTTCTATTTTGAAAATGGTTGTATATAGAACCAAAAAAGGTTCTGCTATTGTTACGATGTCAAGGTTGTATCAATGGAAGAACACCTTTTGGTATTATATAGAACCGTTTTCAAAAAGGTTCTATAAAGAACCATTTACAACTTATTTTCCACTATATGAGCCATCCTCTATGGCTGCGTCCAATAGCTGAATTAAACTTTCTTTCCTGTCTGCTTTGCTTTGATTTTACATATAGGACAGCAGATCCAGGACCACTCCTTACAGACCTCCATGTGGTCCAGTGATTCCCTGCTCCCAACACACCTGGTCCAACTAAGTGGTTACTTGAGCTCCTGTTGAAGTTGAAAGTTGTGAAGGCGGAAAAAAAACAAAGGTTCGTTCATTTGTTCGGACGCAGCTTTTACCGATGAAGAAATGACTCACTGAGCCAAAAGAACGAGAAGGGGAATGCTGCAGACCGGAGCCCTAAAGGGGAGGTAACTGGGGGCGGGAGTCTGTCAATCATTTTTAGCATCAACTAATTAAATAACTACTCTTGGCCGTCAATCACATTTTGCCTTGGCCAACCGCAGATTAGAACCAGCTGTCCGTCATTTTTTGCATTAGCCAATCTAAAGGTCTGTCTGCAGACATGCACTCCCAGCCTGACCTGCACCGCCAGCTTGTTAACGGCACCAGCGCTGCTCTGACACCACAGAGTTTCTGTTGGTTTTATGAGGGAAAAACAGCGAATCACGAACTGCTGGGCAACAAGAGCTACACTGAATGTATATGAACGTTCTCATAGTGATAATAAGGTAATTAAATATGGAAACTGTCAAAATAAAGCCACGACGATAAACATAATGTCGGGTTCATTCGCAGAAACACAAACAAACTACTGCTGAAACCCATGAAAGCCAGGCTGAAGACGATCAGAACCGTTAGGATTAAAACCTGATGGTTTTGCTTCGGGAATTGGCTTGATGGTTGCCGTTAGAGAACTTTAGGAAACGAACAACTGCACATGGAATCAGTCCCAGAACAGCTGATTAAATGATCTGAGTCCCTTACACTGTGATATCAACCCAGAACACCATTAGACTACTGAAAACCACCAGGAACCGACAGACACTTTTAATGGGTTCTATGACTTTTTTCAACTGGTAGGTAAATTAAATGTAGTTCTCTGGCCGTGTTCTGGACGATAAATGGATTAAGTGATGAAATCGCTAAGCAGAAGCAGCCAAACGTTACCGTGTAATCTGGATGTTGTGAGAAGGAGAATGCTGCAGACCCGAGACCTAAAATCATCATAAGCACAAAACACTGAAGGCAAACAGTTCCATTAGGAACCAAGTGGCTATGAAATCACTTTTTGTTAACAAGCAAAGTTTAAGTGGAATCACCCAGCTGGCATTTCAACGTTTATTCACGGTTGAATCAACGTCACAGATCATGGTTGAAACAACGTTGGATTATGTTTCGATTTTGAAAGATGAATCAACGTTGATATCGCGACGTTGTTTCAACGTCTTACCTTTCAACGTTGAGGCTCCCAGATAGCAAAAATCAGTGGGCCCACATCCCGGCTGAATACTGCATACCGATCTTATACCTCGTTTGCCGAGACTTTGGTTTGTATCTCCGCCCAATTCTGGCCTAAATGCTCGGCTCACATCCGGATACGTTGTGATATTAACACTCCCAGCTAGCAAAATATACTCAATTTACTTCCATACAGTTTCGGCATAAACCTAAATCTCTATAACTACATGTACCTCAACCAAAAGCATAGCATTTGCTAAGATGTAGACTAACATTCACTTTTATTCTGAAATAGCGTAACAGAATCCAGACAACAATAAAAAGAAAACCAACTGACCCAATAGCCAATGAACACAGTAAAGCACAGGCAAACACAGCTGAACAATCAATAGTTTGTCACAGTTTTAATATGCATCATCATCTATGAAGTTAGTACGAACTGTATCATCAGTAACACATCCTTAAAGCTCACCTGTTTTCACCTGTAAGCATGCATGAATTTCAATGACAACACTAGAAATGATTTGGAAACAACTGCTTTAATTGTCTTACATAAATATACAGTACATGCCTACAACACTAACAAAATGGAAGTCAGTACATAAACAGTTAACATATACCAATAAACGTGTTAAAGAAAAATACACACAAAACTGAAGTGTGCAGTACACCACTGTGCTTTATTTTATACACACACACACACACACTATCATTTACAGCTACCTTGTATTCACTCATTTTCCATTTAATCAGGTTCACCAATAGGTGAGTACTTTGTAGCTCTGCAATTAGAGACTGTAGTCCATCTGTTTCTCTGCACACTTTGTTAGCCCCCTTTTACCCTGTTCTTCAGTGGTTAGGACCCCCATGGACCCTCACAGAGCAGATACTATTTGGGTGGTGGATCATTCTCAGCACTGAAGTAACACTGATGTTAGTGTGTGTTGCGCTGGTCTGAGTGGATCAGACACAGCAGTGCTGCTGGAGTTTTTAAAAACCTCAGTGTCTCCGCTAGACAGAGAATAGTCCACTAACCAAAAATGTCCAGCCAACAGCGTCCTGTGACCACTGATGAAGGACTAGAGGATGACCAACACAAACTGTGCAGCAGCAGATGAGCTATCGTCTCTGACTTTACATCTACAAGGACTAGCAGAAGTAGAAGTGTCTAATAGAGTGGACAGTGAGTGGACAGTGTTTAACTCCAGCAGCACTGCTGTGTCTGATTTACTCACACCAGAACAACACACACTAACACACCACCATCATGTCAGTATTACTGCAGTGCTGAGAATGATCCACCACCCAAAAAATAAATGTCCTGGGGGGCCCTATGGGGTCTTGACCATTGAAGAACAAGGAACAAATTCCAGATGGAGGGCAGGAAGTGTAAAGCGGAAAACAAGATGGAGGCAAGCCCATACTATGCTAACTTAGACTGTGTTACGAGAGAAATGTTGGACAGATGTTCCTTTTCAAAAGGAGTGTTTTTTTTCCCCAACTGAACTGAAAGACTTCCCTGCTATTGAGGCAGCAGATATAAGCAACTTGTTTGTTCACCCATCTTGTGTTTAACTGTTAACCCTGATTTAAGTGTAAGTGGTGTTGCTTGTACCTTTTAAATATATCACCTGTGCACAGATGAACTGTGCAAAACATATTTTTTGCTGGTGTTTTTCTTGCATTTTCCCCCAATGAACAAGCTTTGGGACCTGATAAAAGAACCTTGTAGTTTCTCAGTTCGAACTAATTTAGCAACCATAAACGTAAACCATAGGCATTTCGAGAACCTGTGACAGTGCCTTCTATGAAAATCACTTCCTGCCCTCCAGTATGTGCCACAGCAACGCAGTGATGTAATGTAATTTGCAAACAAGCTTAAGTAAGGTGTACATAAAGCGGTCAGTGAATGTATATATAGAGCATGTGTGGAAGAGAGAGAGAGAGGCAGACAGAATATGAGAATATGTGAGGACCCAGGGCTGTCAGTCGGACACGGTGGTCTGCAGCACGGGGGCTCCACAGGGAACTGTCCTCGCTCCCTTTCTCTTCACCCTCTACACTGCGGACTTCAAGTACAGCTCTGCCAGTTGTCACCTGCAAAAGTTCTCTGACGACTCTGCTATCGTCGGCCTCATCACAGACGGAGATGACAGGGAGTACAGAGAACTGACGCAGGACTTTGTGGAATGGTGCCAGAGGAACTGCCTGCAGATCAACGCAGGAAAAACCAAGGAGCTGGTGGTGGACTTCCGCAAGTCCAAACATTCTCCTCCGGTGCCTGTGAACATCCAGGGAATGGACATTGAGATTGTGAAGTCCTATAAGTACCTGGGTGTTCACCTCAACAACAAGCTGGACTGGACTGACAACACAGCTGCCCTCTACAGGAAAGGCCAGAGCAGGCTACATCTCCTGAGGAGACTCAGGTCCTTTGGTGTGCAGGGACACTTCTCAGGACCTTCTTCGACGCTGTGGTGGCATCAGCCATTTTTTATGGAGTGGTGTGCTGGGGCAGCAGCATCTCCATTGCTGACAGGAAGAGACTGAATAAGATCATCAGGAAGTCCAGCTCTGTCCTGGGATGTCCTCTTGACCCAGTGGAGGTGGTGGGGGACAGGAGAATGAGGACTAAGCTAACAAACATGCTGAAGAACCTGTCCCACCCCATGCACCGCTCTCTGACAGCACTGAGCAGCTCCTTCAGTGCCCGGCTGCGGCACCCGCGGTGCGTGAAGGAGAGATACCGCAGGTCCTTCCTCCCAGCCGCTGTCAGACTCTATAACAGTCACGGCACTCAGTAGACAGTAGTTTACAATTACTTTCCATGTGCAAGAACTCTCAACATCACTGCCACAGCACTTTACTGAGTGCAATATCTCAATACACCATGCATAGTATATTCACTGCGGATCATTGTCAACATGTTTACCACCATTATGTGCAATTATGTCAAGTGCAATATTTCTCCATTTATTTACTGTTTTTTTTTGCTATTTTATTCACTGTGCAATACTCACTACAATACATACCTTTCTACATTTCTAAATTTAAATTTAATACTTGGTATATTTTTCTTATAATCTTTGTACATATACATATATATCTTTATACTTTTATTGTTTATTCTATTTAAATATTGTTTGTATATTTCCTGCTGCTCTGTCTTCTGTGCTGCTGTAACACCGCAAATTTCCCCATTGTGGGATTAATAAAGGATTATCTTTTCTTATCTTGTCTTATCTTATGCACATCTGACCCCTACCCAATAATGTTAAATGTACTCGGCTCTTAGCAGACGTGGAGGTCTCTGGTCGATTTCTTTGTCACCTGCTGCGTGACTGTTACTGTGGATTCTTCATAGCTGCATCTAAAATAAAGAAAAAAAGTCAGCAAGATCAGCTGAAGCAGACAGCAGGCATTACGAGAAATAAATCTACAAAGAAACATGAAAAAAGCAGTTGTGGGTGCAACAGCATAGAAGAAGGAGTGGGTTTCTGTAAATAACGATGTGCTGGTTTTCGCAATGACACTTAATATAAGTCCTATTGCATTTAAATTAATATAGATTGCGTTATGATTTCCAATTCACAATTTAAAAAAAAGTACTTTTGTACTTTAACTCAAGTGAAAAAACAAATAAAATATTTGTACTTTAAGAATTTCTACTTTTACTCAGGTTCAGAAGTTTTGTACTTTGCTCACTCCTGCTGAGAAGGCTGGCTTCCGTAGCTTAAAACAGGGCGGGTTAATAGGGAGTGTAGAAGTAAAAGAGGAAAAAGACACTGAACCAGGACTTAAAAAAAATTAAGTTAACGTTGTTTCCATACCTGAAAGATGCTGCTGGTGTACAAAGGACGCGCAGGTGACTGCAACAAGAGAACAAGGAGATTTCAGAAACATCACTCTGAATAACCTCCGGTCAGTGACGCAGTGATTTCTTGTACAAGCATTAAATGGTTTTATTCCACTTACCATACACAAATTAATATTCTCATAAAGTGGATGCTCAAACTTGAGTTTATACAACAGATACTGAATTTCCAAAAGCTGAACACTGACCTAACGTTAATCGCTTTAGATATTCATATTCAAGCAAGTAAAACTATCGGACAGAAAGTAACCAATTTATAGCTCAGCTCAGTTAGGATAACTTATCCAGTTAGGTTAATAAATTTCTACCAATTCAAAATTCCTGAATAATTCAGTCCAATGTAAACATGTAAATGATGTAAACATGTGGCTGCAGAGTCATTCAGAGTGGTTTGATATAAAATGGTTCATTGTAAATAAGTGTACTGTTTCTTTACAGTGGTGATAGAAACCAGGGGTCACCATGACAACAACACAAATATAGACACATTATTTACTATCTGAAACCACCAGTGAACCTACATGTGTTTTTGTGTAATGGTGGGAAAAATAGTCTGGAAAAAAAAGAGCTTTCTTTGGAGACTATATTGCCCTGCATGCACCCCTCCGGCATTAATGAATTAAAAGAAAAAAAACAGCAAGTTAAATTTTTAATCACAAAACTACCATAAAACAAAGGTTCAGGCATCACACAGTATATATCTAACCATTTCATATAGTAACTTTCTAAGAGAGAGTTTTCAGAGGCACTGAATTCTTTGGACATCTGGTTCCACTTTGAACATTTCCTCAATCGTAGGTTTCACTACAGCAGGGCATTTCACGCCAAACCACTGTGAATGACTGTAAACACCGCAACCATTTAATTGTGCAAAATTTTTGAAAATCAGTGGGGTTCTCCTTTAAGTTTTAACTCCGGCTCCAGTCACTCGACGCGTCTCTCCCTCTAAAGATTTCTGCTTTGTCTCGTCTGAGTGAAGCATCAGACCTGGTCTGGGCTGTGAAGCTGTACCACGGTAAAGTTAGTTTTGTTTTCGATATTCGTCTTTTCGGCGCTAATAACATTTGATCGGACTACGGTAGTCAGTAAAGACTTACATATTCATGACAGTACGACCACAGAGAGTGATGCACACCTGTTCTTTTAAAGTTTGGGTGACATTTAACGTACCGCTATTTTGTGTTAATACCATAGAACTGAGACACGTTTTTCAGTCGGAAGAAAAATCATGCACTTCTAGACCACGCCCACATCCATGCACACGCCTCTGTTTTCCTCCAAAGCGTTTCAATGTATTTAAATACATATTTTAATTGTTCGTGCTAACAATAGACACCGCCAAACAATAGAATGTCAATAGCTCCATAAACACTGTGTCCATGCACATCTGATTAACTGTGTTATTTACTGTAAATTATGGTTAGAAATACACACCACTTTAATTTAGAAAAAGGATTTGAATTAACCTGTAACTAAAATGTACTTGCCAATACTTGTCCTAACAGTACTGAGCATACCTTACCTGTAAAAACTGATACTACCTGTATACTGATATAGCTAGTTAGCTTGATGCCGGAGGTTCAGTAATCGACAGACATTAGCAATCTTGAAGGTTTAATAGATCCTTAACCATCTAAAATATTAGTTTAAAAAATGAGAGTGTAGAAAAGAAAACGTCTTATTTAAGTGGATTAAATTGCAAATCAAAAGTTTAAATCCATCAAACACTAAGTGAGTCAGATGTAAGATGTAAGTGAGAGGGAGAGAAGAGAGAACATGGCGGAATGTAGTGACAGAGATTCGGAGATATTTCAGCCTTCTATGAAGACCAAGTCTGACGTTTGGTCATGTTTTGGGTTTTATAAGGATGCAGAAGGAAAGTTAATTGAAGATGACCACCCTGTCTGCAGATGACCACCCTGTCTGCAGAACAGGCCGAAAGAAAATTGCGGCCAAAGGGGGCAACACATCAAACCTTACGAGTCATCTTCGCGACCACCACCCGCTACTTTAGAGAATGCAAGGTTAACTTTAACGGAGAAGTCTGTGGAGACTTCGCAATAGAAGAAATGTCACGGTTTGTGTGGTTTAACTTATGCTTATGGTTCGTTAATAATATAAAATGAAGCTTTTAGTGTCAAAAAAACCAAAACAAAAAACAATCGGTGAATCAGCTGTGAATCGAAACTAAAGCTTTTAACACGTATTTCTGTGGAGCAGAGTCTCCAAAATGAGCTCTGAGTCAACAGTCACACAAGCTCTGGAACGAGACGCTGCAGAGGTTCAATCTGCACAGCTCCCCCTTTCTCGCTTGCAGTGTTTACTTTCTGAGAAGAGAATACCTGTCTCAAATCACTCAATGTCCCCTACATAGTGCGCTACTGTTCAAACAAACACGATCATCATTAACAAGCAGTTGAGTTTTAAATAGGGGATTTGTAACCTGTTGTTAATGTTGATTATAGATGACTTAGTCGAACGTTTTTTGCACTCTTTGGGTGAAGGATTTGCTATTTCATGATCCACGAAGTGCACTACATAGGGAAGATAGTGTGCTTTGAGACGGGACCTCACGCGAGTAAACGCTGTGTGCCGCTTTTGGGAAAAGCAGAGTTTCAGAGATTAAACTTTAGGAGTGTTTCTGCCGCAGCTCAGATGCGCATTAATTTTAAGTTATGTTATAGTTTTAAAATGCTTTTAGAAAAGCAGCTCCACAGGTGAAGACACACTGTGTGAGTTCTACACTGTCTGCAGCTCACAGCGCGGTCACGCAATTCCTCTGTGATTTTGGCTGTTTTTCCTAGTGCACTGTATTGATTAGGGGTTCAGCGCCACAACGGCACAATAACGCTGCAGTTGCAGTTCGGACAGAAATCCCCCGAGTGCAGCACTTCTTAGAAGTAGTAATTTTCCATTAAGACCCACCTCAGAGTTGGTGGAGATTTAATTCTCTATGCAGGGAAATCCCTAATTATTGTACTTAATAATAATAATAATAATAATAATAATAATTACAGCAGTAATAATAATAATAACTTACAACAGTAATAATAATAATAATAATAGTAATGGTGAAACGAATTTCAGTTTGTGTATCAGTATTTATTTATTTATTTTACTTTTCAACGCTTTTGAACAATATCGCGATAATATCGATAATCGTGATAGTTCTGGTCATGATAATCGTGATATGAAATTTTAATATCGTTTCATCTCTAGTTGGGTGTAATACAGCTGAAATGCTACTGAAATTCAAAATGGATAAAAGTTAAAGCAATATATCCAAACTTTAAAGGCTGTGCACCATACACAGCTGTTTTTAATGTTGTAAATAATTTAGCTGAAAATACATAAAAATTAATAAAAAGTAGTTACAGCAATATGTACAAAATTTTAAGGGCGTGCATCATTGCTGACGCCTCACTGCACCATACACAATTGTTTTTAGTGTTGGGTGTAATACAGCTGAAATATTATTGAAATTCAAAATACATAAAAATGAATAAAAAGTAGTCACAGCAACATATCCAAAATCCAAAAGCTGTGCATCAATGCTGACACCTCACTGCACCATACACAGCTGTTTTCAATGTTGTATATAATTTAGCTGAAATATTATTGAAATTCAAAATACATAAAAATTAATAAAAAGTAGTTACAGCAATATGTACAAAATTTAAAGGTTGTGCATCACTGCTGACACCTCACTGCACCATACACAGCTGAAATATTATTGAAATTCAAAATACATAAAAGTTAATAAAAAGTAGTTACAGGGATATATCCAAAATCCAAAAGCTGTGAATCATGGCTGACACTGTACTGCACCATACACAGCTATTTTTAGTGTTGTATGTAAGATGCTAAAAATATTATTGAAGTTCAAAATAAATAAAAATTTATATAAAGTAGTTATTGCATTATATCCAATATCCAAAGGCCGTGCATCATTCCTGACACTGCACTGCACCATACACAGTAGTTTTTAGTGTTGTTTGTAAGATGAGCAAAATACTATTGAAGTTCAAATTAAATAAAAAAAAAAAACGTATTTATTGCATTATATCCAAAATCCAAAAGGTGTGTATGACTTCTGACACTTCACTGCACTGTACACAATTCTTTGTAGTGCTGTATGTAATGTGACTGGAATATAGTTGAAATTCAAAAATTATGAAAAATTATTTAAATGAGATATTGCATTAGATCCAAAATCCCCAAAAAATTATGAATGGTGATACCTAGCTGCACCATACACAGTTATTTTTAGTGTTGTATGTAATGTGGCTGAAATATTATTGAAGTTCAAAATAAATAAAAATTTATATAAAGCAGTTATTGCATTACATCCAAAATCCAAAAGTTGTGTATGATTGCTGACATCTTGCTGAACCATATACGATGGTTTTAGTGATGTATGTAATATGATTGAAATGCTATTAATTCAAAATACATAAACATTAATATAAAGTATAAAGCTATTTCAGCTAAATTATATACAACATTAAAAACAGTTGTGTATGGTGCAGTGCAGTGTCAGCAATGATGCACAGCCTTTAAAATTTGGACATATTGCTGTAACTACTTTTTATTAATTTTTATGTATTTTGAATTTCAATAATATTTCAGCTGTATTATTTACAACATTAAAAACAGCTGTGTATGGTGCACCAAGGTGTCAGCAATGATGCACAGCTTTTGGATTTTGGATATGTTGCTGTGACTACTTTTTATTAATTTTTATATATTTGGAAATTCAATAATATTTCAGCTGCATTATTTACGACATAAATTTTGGACATATTGCTGTGACTACTTTTTATTAATTTTTATATATTTGGAATTTCAATAATATTTCAGCTGCATTATTTACAACATAAATTTTGGACATATTGCTGTGACTACTTTTTATTAATTTTTATATATTTGGAATTTCAATAATATTTCAGCTGCATTATTTACAACATAAATTTTGGACATATTGCTGTGACTACTTTTATTAATGTTTATGTATTTTGAATTTTAATAATATTTCAGCTGCATTATTTACAACATTACAAACAGCTGTGTATGGTGCACCAAGGTGTCAGCAATGATGCACAGCTTTTGGATTTTGGATATGTTGCTGTGACTACTTTTTATTAATTTTTATGTATTTTGAATTTCAATAATATTTCAGCTGCATTATTTACAACATTACAAACAGCTGTGTATGGTGCACCAAGGTGTCAGCAATGATGCACAACCTTAGGATTTTGGGTATATTGCTGTAACTACTTTTTATAAATTTTTATATGTTTTGAATTTCAATAATATTTCAGCTGTATTACACCCAACACTAAAAACAATTGTGTATGGTGCAGTGAGGTGTCAGCAATGATGCACGCCCTTTAAATTTTGTACATATTGCTGTAACTACTTTTTATTAATTTTTATGTATTTTGAATTTCAATAATATTTCAGCTAAATTATATACAACATTAAAAACAGCTGTGTATGGTGCAGTGAGGTGTCAGCAATGATGCACAGCCTTTGAATTTTGGATATATTGCTGTGACTCCTTTTTATTAATTTTTATGTGTTTTGAATTTCAATAATATTTCAGCTAAATTATTTACAACATTAAAAAGAGCTGTGTATGGTGCAGTGAGGTGTCAGCAATGATGCACAGCCTTTGGATTTTGGATATATTGCTGTGACTACTTTTTATTAATTTTTATATATTTGGAAATTCAATAATATTTCAGCTGCATTATTTACGACATAAATTTTGGACATATTGCTGTGACTACTTTTTATTAATTTTTATATATTTGGAATTTCAATAATATTTTAGCTGCATTATTTACAACATAAATTTTGGACATATTGCTGTGACTACTTTTTATTAATGTTTATGTATTTTGAATTTTAGTAATATTTCAGCTGCATTATTTACAACATTACAAACAGCTGTGTATGGTGCACCAAGGTGTCAGCAATGATGCACAGCTTTTGGATTTTGGATATGTTGCTGTGACTACTTTTTATTAATGTTTATGTATTTTGAATTTTAATAATATTTCAGCTGCATTATTTACAACATTAAAAACAGCTGTGTATGGTGCACCAAGGTGTCAGCAATGATGCACAGCCTTAGGATTTTGGGTATATTGCTGTAACTACTTTTTATTAATTTTTATGTGTTTTGAATTTCAATAATATTTCAGCTGCATTATTTACAACATTACAAACAGCTGTGTATGGTGCAACAAGGTGTCAGCAATGATGCACAGCCTTTGAATTTTGGACATATTGCTGTAACTACTTTTTATTAATTTTATATATTTTAAATTTCAATAATATTTCAGCTGTATTACACCCAACACTAAAACAATTGTGTATGGTGCAGTGAGGTGTCAGCAATGATGCACGCCCTTTAAATTTTGTACATATTGCTGTGACTACTTTTTATTAATTTTTGTATATTTGGAATTTCAATAATATTTCAGCTGCATTATTTACAACATAAATTTTGGACATATTGCTGTAACTACTTTTTATTAATTTTTATATATTTGGAATTTCAATAATATTTCAGCTGCGTTATTTACAACATTACAAACAGCTGTGTATGGTGCACCAAGGTGTCAGGAATGATGCACAGCTTTTGGATTTTGGATATGTTGCTGTGACTACTTTTTATTAATTTTTATATATTTTGAATTTCAATAATATTTCAGCTGCATTATTTACAACATTAAAAACAGTTGTATATGGTGCAGTGAGGTGTCAGCCATGATGCACAGCCTTTGGATTTTGGATATATTACTGTAATTACTTTTTATTATTTTTTATATATTTTGAATTTTAATAATATTTCAGCTGCATTATTTACAACATTAAAAACAGTTGTATATGGTGCACCAAGGTGTCAGCCATGATTCACAGCTTTTGGATTTTGGGTATATTACTGTAATTACTTTTTATTAATTTTTATATATTTTGAATTTCAATAATATTTCAGCTGCATTATTTACAACATTAAAAACAGCTGTGCATGGTGCAGTGAGGTGTCAGCAATGATGCACAGCCTTTGGATTTTGGATATATTGCTGTAACTACTTTTTATTAATTTGTATATATTTTAAATTTTAATAATATTTCAGCTGTATTACACCCAACACTAAAAACAATTGCGTATGGTGCAGTGAGGTGTCAGCAATGATGCACAGCCTTTGGATTTTGGACATATTGCTGTAACTACTTTTTATTAATTTTTATATATTTTAAATTTCAATAATATTTCAGCTGTATTACACCCAACACTAAAAACAATTGTGTATGGTGCAGTGAGGTGTCAGCAATGATGCACAGCCTTTGGATTTTGGATATATTGCTGTAACTACTTTTTATTAATTTTTATATGTTTTGAATTTCAATAATATTTCAGCTGCATTATTTACAACATTACAAACAGCTGTGTATGGTGCACCAAGGTGTCAGCAATGATGCACAGCCTTTGGATTTTGGATATATTGCTGTAACTACTTTTTATTAATTTGTATATATTTTAAATTTTAATAATATTTCAGCTGTATTACACCCAACACTAAAAACAATTGTGTATGGTGCAGTGAGGTGTCAGCAATCATACACAACTTTTGAATTTTGATTGTACTGCAATAATTACTTCATATTAATATTTGTATTTTAACCTTCAAAAGCATTTCAGCTGTATTCATTGCAGTGAATGCTGCATTTTGAATCTAAGCAGTATTTTAAATGTTCAATGTCTAAAATGTCGAAATTGAAAATGGAAAAAATAACTTAATTCTGACTCACTGAGTGTTTGATGGATTTAAACTTTTGATTTGCAATTTGATCCACTTAAATAAGACGTTTTCTTTTCTACACTCATTTTTTAAACTAATATAGATAGTTAAGGATCTATTAAACCTTCAAGACTGCTAATGTCTTAGGACAAGTATTGGCAAGTACAATTTAGTTACAGGTTAATTCAAAGTCCTTTTTCTAAATTAAAGTGGTGTGTATTTCTAACCATAATTTACAGTAAATAACACAGTTAATCAGATGTGCATGGACACAGTGTTTATGGAGCTATTGACATTCTATTGTTTGGCGGTGTCTATTGTTAGCACGAACAATTAAAATATGTATTTAAATACATTGAAACGCTTTGGAGGAAAACAGAGGCGTGTGCATGGATGTGGGCGTGGTCTAGAAGTGCATGATTTTTCTTCCGACTGAAAAACGTGTCTCAGTTCTATGGTATTAACACAAAATAGCGGTACGTTAAATGTCACCCAAACTTTAAAAGAACAGGTGTGCATCACTCTCTGTGGTCGTACTGTCATGAATATGTAAGTCTTTACTGACTACCGTAGTCCGATCAAATGTTATTAGCGCCGAAAAGACGAATATCGAAAACAAAACTAACTTTACCGTGGTTGAAGTCGTTACCTGCTAACTAGCAAACTAACAGCCCCACACACCACAAACCCTGATTAGTTTCTGTTTATCGGACACTCCAGCACCGTCCACTCGACTTCACTCGCTCAAATTTGAGTAATTTTCCTTGAAATTCGTCGGAGTTTAGCACAAGTTAGCCGGAACCGAACCGGACTTCCAGCAGAGCTGTTAGACAGCCTGCTAACGTTAGCTAACCTTGAGCTAACTTAGACAGTAACTCAGTTTATTAGCTATACTTAGACCATGAATTCGACAACGTCGCTCCAAATTTAAAATAATAATTAGAACAAGTTACCTTTTAACTGCCTTCATAAACGAGAGAAACAGTCAGAGGTGACTAGCCTAGCTATCCCACCATAGCAGACCACCGGCTAACTAGCTAACTTAGCAAGTGACGTTAATGTTTGATTTACTGTATAAAGAGTTGAACATTATCAGATTTTAGGATTAAATCTAAGTAAATGTTCGATTAAAACTGCTGGTACGTCAAATAAACCAAGTGTTACACACCAAACGCGCTTTGAAGCCTCCGAAGTTTCCAGAAGCCGCTCTGAACGCTTTTCCCGCTCAGCTGAACGTTGGTGAATCGCGCGCGTCGCTCCAGCGCAGGCGCACTCGGGCAGCCTCGAAACGGGTGTAGTCAGCCCGCCTCAGTCCGGGCGCTGATTGTCAGTTTACATAGCTCTTCATGCTGTTTCAATGGGCGGCAAACAAGTTTTTCTCCGCAAACTTAATTTGCCTGTTACTATTATTGTTTTTGTTGTTTGCTATTTTTAACATAGACATTTAGATTTTTTAAGTGCTCTTATGATCAAAATATAAAAAATGGCAATAAATTAACAATAATAATGATCATATTTGTAAAGCAAGATGATTAAGACATTATCTTGATATAAAGTTGAAATTTCAACGTTGATTTATGAGTATTTTGTTAACCATTTCACAACTATTTAACATTAACGGTTGTTTCAACGTTTTTTCAACGTTGAAACAACAACCGACATTATTTCAACCACATTTAAACACTGAAGGTCGGTCATGTGCCAGCTGGGTTAAGTGGAATCAGTGTTTGAATAAACTCAGAAAAAGACACGCCAGTCAGAACTGCATATGAGCACATATTTCTATATTGTGTTCATGTATTTACCCACAAAGTCAGGAGGAACGTGTTCTATCAGTTCACTGATGCTTTCATGTGTAAAGGTCAGTCAGTGTTTGCATGAACTTTATCTGCCAAAGAGCATGTACATATAATCATGTACACATGCACACATAGGACAAAAGGAACGACAGATTTCACACAGTGTAGTGGATTGAAAAATAAAATATGTGACTTTGAAATGTTGTAAAAAATCCAAAATAGAAACACTTCAGTAAAGATACATGAAAAAACTAATTAAGTACAGCAAGGAATTACATGTTGTGTGTTTGTGTGTGTGTGTGTGTGTGTGTATATATATATAAGTGAAACAATACTTATAATAATGTATTGATCTGAAATAAGAAATTAGGTGACATTTAAGGCAACTTCAAAGCTTCAAACTATCTTCCCACTTCCGCGTGCCTGAACAGTATGGAACGCCTTTTCACACTTTCCTTCAAACCATTGGCTGATGCATAAAATGAGAGACAGGTAATTCACTCTTGTGATTGGCCAATGCAAGTTTTGATTGACAGTCCATCTCTGTTAAGCTTGGCCGATGCCAGAAATGATTGACAGTGTCTCCGCCCATTCGCTACGCCCACTGGTTATCCGGGCTGCAGATACATATACTTGAAAAGAACCAGAACCCGGCGTGGTGGTCCCGTCTCCTACAGGCCGGAGAATCAGTGGGCGTGATGACTGGGGGGTCTTCCTTCGGGGATCTCGCATTTTTGACTTCAGCCAATCAAATACCAGAACTCTGTCCTGCTGTCAATCACATTTTATTACGCCAATCTCTGCTTAAAGTTTCGCCCAAAAAAGGTGGTAACTGCGGTGCTATTGGTCAATACAAAGGAAAACATAGCGAGAGCCAGCGACCATGTCCGTGACCATGACCATGTCCTTTGTGTCCATAGTCACAAAGTATCATGTATTTTTGAAAGCACAACTCATTATTGTGTCACATCGTTAAAGTTAATCAATATATAGAACCGTTTTCAAAAAGGTTCTATAAAGAACCATATACAACTTATTCTCAATCAACCTGAAGAACTTTAACACTATCCAAGAACCAATGAAGAACCATCTTTTTCAAGCGTGTAGAACTCATAGTTCTAAATAGGAACATTCTCTTTACTCTGAACCTATGAAGAACCATCTTCAAACTAAATATCTGTGTCTCTTCATCCCTCTGTGTTAAACAATGACATACATTACAGCACCTTTTATACACGTTATAGCCTATTCAAGTTCTGGGTCCAGGCCCGAGCACACACACTCCTAAAAGGGGGAAACGGGCAACGTGAACATGAATTAAATCAAATTTAATTTGTCTACTGCAGTCACACTTATCATTCGACACATACAGTCACGTTTCAGATAAAACTAAAGGCAGTGTTGAAAGATTTTAATACAGCCTGACTATGGAAACTGAAAGCAAGGAAAGATGCGGGGGCATTCTGGGAAATGTAGTGTGAGGTGGAACTTGCGCGGTAGTGTTTGTGTTGTGCAGTTTAACCCAACAATTCAGACGAACAGCTTCTCGGCCTCAAGTATTGATTCTTTCTCTCCTCGATATCAGTGACAGTGTCTCCGGCACAGAACCCGTACTGTATCGTACTCTAAAGCACAGAACATCTGACGCTGTCCTCGTGGTTCCATGGTGTAATGGTCAGCACTCTGGACTCTGAATCCAGCGATCCGAGTTCAAATCTCGGTGGAACCTGCGGTTCTTTCTTTAGCGCCCCCTACTGAAAGGACTTGGGCGCATTCAGACGGTGACAAAGAAAAGAGAGCACACATATGAAACATATTATAAATACAGTGAGTGCAGATGCTTTCAGGAAGGTATTGCATAATGCAATCAACATTAGAGACGCAAATAATAGAAGGAGACAGTTCACTGGTTAAATCAGGGGTGTCCAGTCTTATCCGCAAAGGGCCGATGTGGCTGCAGGTTTTCATTCCAACAAAGCAGGAACTCACATGATCAGTTGTCTAAAGACTGAGACTGCCTGATTAAACGAGTGCAATCAGGTACGCTTTTCTTGTTTGGGACGAAAACCTGCCCACACATCGGCCCTTAACGGATAAGATTTAACACAGCGGTGTCCAAATATGACTAGGATACCTTATAATGCTAAATATGAGGACAGTATTATGGAAAGTCCCAAAATTCAACATAAAGAGTAAAAAGCACTTTCTTTTTGGGGAGATATGCACATATGCAGTAGCCAGAACAACCTTAAAAAGTGTTCTATGAATTATGCATCACAAACTATTCAATTTTAATAATTAAAGTTTTATGCTCTACATCTGTACTGGCGACTCACATAGTATTAACAAGAACTATCATACATTTATCCTGTTCCTATATACAAAGAAACAGATAAATGATGCAGAGCATCAAAAACTAGTGTCATGAAATAATAAAAAAGCACCTAATGAAAAAAGCTTAAAAAAAAGATTTTAATAAGAACGATTTGTACAAATTTACAAATATACTGATATGGAAGTTTAACAACCAAGTTAAACAAGAATTATGTACAAAGTATGTCTACTTACAAGCTATATTATAATATCCAATGATAACCAAAGAGTTTATAATAAACATTTGGAAGTCAAATAAGGCACACAACTTAGAGCAGACGTACAGTGATTTCTGACGTAGTGCGGTCAACACTCTTCTATTTCTCTCTTGTGGTTCTATGACTGCTTCTGTTTTGAAAGAACAACATGTACATTTCTGAAAACTTGCTAACAGGTGCCACTGCAGAATCTCAGCTGCTAAGTTACGACTAGGCCATCATTGTTCAGAGGTGAGGTTTAGCGAAAGGTCCATTCAGTGCAAGGACTTAAAAATTCCTTGTTTTGGCAAAGAAAACCAGCAGCCATGTTTTCTAACTTAAGGCATAAAGGCTGTCACATGAGTATTTGGTTACATATGATGGGTTGAAGCTATAGGCAGTTCATGTGTTTGGGGCCATAGAGCTGAATCTGAGTCTCCTTAAGACTCTTAATGATAATAACTCTTAAGAATTATTAATTAATGCGGCTCTTGTGATTTGAAAATAGCACTTTCAAAATGAGATTTTGGCATAAAAACATTCAGCACAACACATAACAGGAGCCTGTGTCATGAAGAAATACTTGGCCTGTTACTTTTAAATATGAGACATGGGTTCACTTTGTGCAATCACTAAAACTCCAAAACCTTTGCAAAACATGACAGTTTTAACCAAACCCCAACAGATTAGAGAATTCTTTACTTAAGAATTTTATTCTATAGTGACAGTCACTTCACCCTTTGAACGGACCACCTTTTTTTGGTGTAGCCTTTTTACGACCTTCACTTTATCGTCGAGGTGCCACTTCCTGAAGCAGTTCCTTGCAGCAGATCCACACAGTGGCACATCACATCGTGCACACTGCCACGAAGTGTCACTCCTCCTGCCTTCTGACTTGCATTGTCTGCACACTCTCCGACCCCCTTGGATGCGTTCCAATTCGTGGTCCATTGGAACAATTTTTGGTAGGGCAACCTTTACTTTAGCGTCACAGAGCTGCACACAGAGGCTCCTCCTGAAGTCAATGTACGTCATGGTCTTTTTTGATTTGACTTCGCACTGCTCTCTGTACAGCACGTAGGTGTTCGCTACAGCCATGTCCAGAAAGTGGAAGAAAAAGGTTTTGTACCACTTGTAGGTCCTGCGGGTGGTATAGTTCTGAAGCCTTGGATCTGAAAAATCTACTCCACCCATGTACTTGTTATAGGATTTAACTGCCGCTGGCAGGTGAAATTTACGGGCTTCACAGGTTCCGTCGGGTTTCCTCTGCTTTCTCGAGATCACATCTCCAGTGTAGGCCTTGTGAATGGTGGAGCAGATGGAGACCTCTTTTGTGTCCATCCACTTCACAAACAAAAGGGGTCCCTGTCTGATCCATCTCATGCTGCCTCGCTCTGAAGATCTGCTGAGACAGTTTTCCTGGGCTCTTGGATATCCTGATCGGTTTTCTCGCACTGTGCCACACGCCCCTATCTTCATCTCGTAAAGGTCCCTGAACAGAGTGGGGCTCGTGTAGAAACTGTCACAGTACAAAACATAACCTGTGCCGAGAAAGCTAGGATCTACAAGAGAAACTACAGAATCATGACTTAACCCGTGGGATGTTATGCGTGGGCTACTAGTAGCATAGACTTTGAAATCACACGTATAGCCAGTTGCTGAGTCACAAAGAACAAAGAGTTTGTAACCCCAATTATGAGGCTTGGACTTTAGGAATACCTTCATCCCACTCTTGATCAATGTTGGGACCATTCGTTCATCAATCCACAAGCGCCTCCTAGGATGATAAAATGCTTTGCAAGCAAATTTAAGGCTCTCCATCAGTGGCCTGATCTTCGCTAGGTTATCATAGTCGGCTTTTTTCTTCCTTGCATTTTCTTTGTCTGCGTCTGGGTCGCTTATGTGAAAGCTCCAGCTGATAGCCTGAAATCTTTCCCTGCCCATGACTTTCCTCACAAAGGGAGTCTGCCACACATTGTCCGTTCGCCAGTAATCTTGGATCCTGGGAGAACGAATGATGCCCATAAACACAAGAATTCCACAGAATTTCAAGAACTCTGAAATTTCCACAGGTTCCCATTTGTACTTCTTGCCTTTTTGTTTCTTTAACGCTGCATTCTTGTTGGTGTTACTGCAGAGGCTATCGACAACGTCCAGGGAAAAAAACAGCTGGAAAAGCTCAAGTGGACTGTATTCTCGAGAATGATCTAGAAGAGATCCGGGGTTGCGAGCAGGAGAGAATGCATGGTGGAAAGGGTCAGCATCGTCCACATCTATGTTCTTCCACCTGTGTGATTCTTGTGATAACTGTTTTTTTCTGATATCAGAACAGAACACAACAGAAAATATGTTTTAGCGCATTTATTTTTGTATGTTAGGAAAAATACTAAATTTAACAGTATTCCAGAAAGTCATAAGTTTCACTTACCCGTCACTCTTATTGGCGGCTGCGTCTTCAGACTGTGCTTCTGTAGGCGTGTCAGACTCCTCAGGCTGTCTGTGTAAACAGAGAAATTTGTACATTTGTGAGTGATATGAATGTACTTATAAAAAGCCAGTTGACGTTCTTCCACTTGGTACATTTACACATCACAAAGCAAATGCAAAGCCTGTCCTGCAGTCTTCCACACCAGGGCCCAAATTTATCAAGCTGTTCAGGGTAAGGACACTGATGTAACATCTTAGGTCATGCAGTTGCAATTATATTGCATGCTTTTCAAAAGGCATAGTCTTTCCTACACTAATATGTATTAAAATTCATAAAATATTAGTTTATGGTAGACATTTAATTAGATATATCATGAATTATATTTACAACACTAACTTCAGATTTTATCTCCACTTTCGACATTTTTTTAATAATTTGTAATATGATAAATTCTAACTTCTGTTCTGCTTTTGTCCACCTTTTTACCACACCTCATTATGCTTTGAGTGACTTATGGACAGAACTGTCGACAGACAACATACTAAATGCTTGTAACATCCTAAGATGATGGCTTCACTAATCTTTAATGTTGAGATGCTCAAATTCATGTGCGCTGATGTTTGTAGCTTGATCGACCTCTCAACAGAAACCTGAACCTGCGTGACAAATGCTGTAGTCAGAGGATCCTCTTCATGGCCAACATCAATTATTCATGCTAATAAAGTCAGTTTTAAATTGTGTTTACATTGAGACTGAGGTACAAGCACAGAAACATAAAGCGATACCATTTCACAGTGTCAAATCAGCACTTTGATAATGCTCCTCATACGCTCACCATAGTAGGTAGCCAAGTTAGGTCGGCGCTATATGAGATTTTTGTCAGCTCTAGTTTTAATACGCACATTTTTGAGCTCATAACAGGCATGATTTTCTTTACTTTGTATGTCACTGTTTTTAAGTAACGTTTTATTTAAAGGATAGTACTTTTACTATAGTAGTGTCAGACTGTTAGCCGGTTAGCTTTCTATTGACCAGCTCAGTCTACTCTTATAAGAGCAGAACACAGTTTATAAAGAGAATGTAGAGTGTAAACCAGTAAACAGTGATGCTCAACTGGTAGCTGCATTTTAAGCACTCAAATTTCAACACTAACAACTAGCTAGGCTTCTTTAAGGAGTCATTATGAAGCCACATTTAAGCTGGTCACAGCACGTAGCATTGCTATTGCAGTATTTACATCTTCACTCGAACTGCATGTTGTCCCAGAAACGCCTCAGAGGCATTTAACAGGACAAAACAATAACTTAAAGTGAGCACACTTTCTTGGACTTAGCTAAAAACAATAACAAACAACACCTCCGTTCCCCCAACCGGATATTCAGTCATAATCTCGAAAGAAAATAAGGTGGGCTTCAACATACTGCTTGATGCTTTTCAGATAAAAGATAGATATTTTATGGCTCTGTTCTTCATTCTGGACACATCTTTTTACAGCTATGTTGTGCTGCACAGGACTCGCATATCAGAACCATTTTACAGTCCAACCAAACTGGGTTTATATGATTGAAAACAATAACTCCAAACTTTTGAACGCTAGTAAGTTTTAATATTTTGGGCCCTGAAGGGAGGGAGGGGGTGGTAAGGAAAAACAAACAGCCTGAACGGCTAAGCCAAGCTCAGAAAGAGGACAGACACACTCATATCCAAGAAGCTAAAGTCATCTTTTTATTCGCCAGCGTCTTATTCCAGTTCTCCCGTTTCACCTTAAATGGTGCAGCAGGTACATTCTGACGAATAGGAAGCAGAGCTCAGCATCGCCTCACATCCGAGCTTATTTTCCCCCTTTTTCATTTCTTCGTGTACTAAATTGATAGTTTGGGAAATAAACAGGAGTTAATCTCTCACGCCAGTGTGGGGTCGTCCTGTGCGGGGTCCATTCCGTTGAAGAACATCTCCTCTTCGTCTGAAACAGCACTTTCAAACCCAGAACCTCCATCTTCATCACTCGAGCCGAAAACCTCGTCAGCGAGCTCTTCAGCTGTGCGTTTCCTTTTCTGTCGCAGAGGCATAACTGTGGGACAAAATCAGCCAAATCAAATTAAAACGAACTTTTCTCCAGCTGCGCGGTTCCCGACCATCTCAGCACCTCTGCAGAACAAACACGCTGCTCAGTGCCGTTGTTTATCTGTTTGAGCTCAGCTTCAGCAGATTCGACAGATTCAAACTTTACCAAGAACTAAACTATCGACAAAATAACCAAAGAAAGTGTTTTATATAAATAGCTGAGATAAATAGCAATGCATGATATACGGTGATATTAAAATGTTAGTAGTACATACAGTAAACCTTTTGAATGGTTTGAATGGTTTGACGAATCTGTGGCACTAATAACGAACTGTTTCTCCCACAAATCCCAGCCGCTCCCGCGGTTCTCTCAGACACGCATGCGCACGAGTGAACGCCGTTCTAACGGCTAAGAAGTTTGTCTGGGTGATCGTAACTGTTCAGTACTGCACACCAAACACTTTAATTACGAATAAAATGGAGTTGGTGTCCTTTAAAATGGTCCACGGACATTACTCAGTGAATTTATTCTCACAGAGGTTTAAAAATGAGATCAGCCTCCGCTGCAGTTTTCTGTGATGAGCTCAAACCCTGATCCATTTGTTTGGTACTGTTCGTATTCAGTAGGTCTGTCAGGATGTCTCATGCCTTTTAACACCGTACTGTTCGGATTCCTTGATATTTGCAATTAAAACATGAAAAGCTCTGTCTGATCAATTTATTGATTTTTCCTGCTAAATTCTAAACATATTTTATGGCCATCGAATTGTAAAAACAAAAGGCTACCAAAACTATCTATGCTATAATACATAGTATTTTCACTTAATACACATGTAGATTATATTCCCCGAGCAAACTGTGTTGTTGCTGATGTCACCCAATCAGAAACAATAGTAATATTCCGTTTAGGAATAAATCTTGTATGGGTTAAACAGCTTTTGAATTCTGTTTTTTACTGACATTTTAAATTTATTGATGAATATTCCTGTAGGCTACCTTTTGTGGTTTAGAAAATGAAACAAATATCCACCAGTGTACTACAGCTGAAGTGTTTTGGATCAATGTGGAGAATTTTGTAAGAAGAGAGTCTGGACATTGCATTTCACTGAATGTTTCAGATATTTTTTTTTACTTACATATACCGATTATGATTTAATTATGTAAAGACCTCCTGACTGTTTTACGTTGTTGTGAACTTTGTGTTACAATCAATCAATCAACCAACCAATAAATAAATAAATAAATAAATAGATAAATAAAGTGGTGGTAAAACAAAGCTTGCTGAACTACTGAATCTTTCTGTTAAATTGTATCAGAAAACCAGTGCACATTAGTGACACCTGGTGGATAAAATCATGAACTGCAGCTCTACATCCACTCTGTCCTGGGAGATGTTTTAGGATGAGAGTCCAAACCTTTATCTTCTACTGATTTAAAAACATGCAATTGGTTTCTAAATCGCTAAAGGTAACTAGTGACATAAACATGGCTCTGTGTGTCATGGGGTGTGTCATATACTAAAGAATACATCACCGTAGAGGCTCAGGATCACCAAGCCCCTAAAGTAACACTGCAAAAAAATACATATATTTGCATTGCATTCCCTCGCAAACTTTTTGGTTTCTTCTCAAAATCCACTGCACTTTAAAGGAAAGTAATGTCATATATAAACTGATGGGAAAAAACAGTTTAAAGCATCTAATACTTGCTTTTAATCCACTCCTCATTGTTTTGTCCAGCCATAAAAATCAGCTGTCAAGGAAACTGTTACTTTTAAATGAAGCCTATTTAATGGCATAACCTGCCTTTCAGCTTATCTTTTGTCAACAATGTACACACTGATATGCTGACAAAACGACATTAATAGCAATATACATTAATGTACACTAATATCAACAGAATGTGCCTGTGCTGTTAAAGGGGACCCGACTCTTTAGATGTGTATGTCTTAAAATAATGTCTAATACTATTAAAACATGATGTATAAAGCAAATGGAAACATTTGTTTATTATCAAACCATAACAAATCCCTATACTAGAAGGCCACCAGTGTCACACTGTGATAATATCATATGGTTACAGAAAATGAGACAGTAAAAAGCTTTTTTTTCTTTTACTAACATCATGATCTAGCTAAAGTTGGAAAGAGTGAAGGATGTATTTCAGTTAAATGTAACTCACTGTTTATCACTCAGTGGACAAGACAGAGAGCAACCATTTGATACCGCAACAAAATTGGAAACTTACTAGTGGAGGGATTTTGTCCATTTTTAATAAGAAATCAAATATTTTGCTTGGTCTAAACATTTTAACTGTACTGAACGTGTACACCACACTGAGACCCACATGTCTTAACAGTCAGGGCTCCTTTTAAAAACAAACTGATTGCTTGTAGATGATTCAGTTGACTTATGAGTGCAAATTATTCTCAGAAATGTACAGATTAACTCAAATTTGTCTGAAAGAGACAATTATAGGCGACCCATTCGGTGAGCCCATATGGAAATCTGATCTACAGCAATATCAATATTTTAAATATATGACAAATATATCACATATGTTAGCCATCAACATTAAATATATATGTATAACGCATACATTTAACAATATATGATAGAAAAATTCATATATAGATGACACATATTAGTCATATGCAAGCTTCATGTTATGTAATATAAGGTTTTATGCATTTACTTTGTTTCTTTCACAGATTTCCTAATGAAGTGTAATAGCTACACATCTAAACTCTAAAAACATGCACATCATAGGCTCTGCGAATACAACAGTAACAATTATACTTACACATATGTAAGTTCTGTATATTATGCATACGCATATAAGTCCAATATGCATATATGTATACAGAACATATATTATATTCTGGATTATTTATGATATGTGCATATATATGGCTATTTATCCGATTTTAGCAAGGATAGTTATAGCTGTTAAAGTGGCCTCTGAGTGTAACTTCAGTATCAGTGAAAAGCTGTCACTGTGTTTGAGAGATGGTTCCTGATTGCCGTTGATCGTCCAGTTCTCTCCTGACTGTGTGTGGAAGCAGTGCTGTAGGTGTAGGCCTTTCTTTGTGATGATAATTAAGACACTACTGCTAATCAGATCAAGTCTGCTCTGGAGTCACATTATGAAGCAGAACAACACTGTAAACTCTTAGAATAATGTATCACGTATTATTATTACTTAGATAAAGAGGATGGAAAATCAGCATTTCACTTCAGTCTGATTTACTGTTCATATATAAGACATTATAATATATATTAATTTTAAAATTATATGTATGATAATACACATATGTACTTACATTTTAGTATACATATATAAGATATATAGATACAACGACCAAAAAAAAATAACCAGTCTGACCTCTGACCTAACCTGTTTTCAGCCAAATGCCCTTATGTGGTTCCATGGTGTAATGGTTAGCACTCTGGACTCTGAATCCAGCGATCCGAGTTCAAATCTCGGTGGAACCTGCAAATCATTTTAGCTCCCCCTACTGAACAGTCTTATATAGTCTTTTTCACTTACAATGGAATAAACTAGGTTTTCATAAGTTTTGAACCAAAGAACCAATAACTAACTCTCTGAAATAAACAAAGGTTTTCTCTGCAGCCTTTAGGTCTCCATTCATGTTTAACCCTTCATATGGTCATATTAAATCATGTTCTATGAATCATGAGTGAACATAAAAAGTGTGTTGACAGAAATACAGGTTAAATCTAACAGAGCAACAGCTGTTATTCAAGAGTGAATTTGTGGGCGGAGCAGGGACAGGTCAGTTTCTGAAATTCAGCATGCATGAATAGTTGGATGTTGGTCAGAAATCCAACACCTGAGACTGAACTGCAGCGTCTTGGCAGGTGTTTCTCTTGTTCAGTGCTTTCCCATTTCGATCACTTTCACTGTACGCTTAGCGAAAAGTATGAGAATGTATGTTTTTAAATATCTTCTACTCTAGAAACCTGCATGAAAATGGGATGACAGGATGACTAGGCTTGTCTAATTTTCAAGTTCATTTGAACCTTTAATTAATTAATTATTATTATTAATGTTAATTAATTATTATTATTAATTACTTATTAATGTTCATTTGAACCTGAACAAGAATGTGAAGTAAAAACTCAGAGACTATTTAAATTATAATTAACTGTTAGAAGTAAAATTAATCTTCTGTACATTTTGATTGTAGGTTCTACAACAGGCGTACTGGGGACCTTCCTGCAGAGTTTACTGTGAATTTAGTTCATTAAGACCTTGCTAATAAATTGATGAGCTGAATCAGGTGTGTTTAATGAGGCAGTGAGCTGAAATCTGCAGTGTTTTGACCCACGAGGACTGGAGCCTGACACATGTGGTCTACTTTAAGTTGAATTTAGAACATGAATACTCATTATATGAGTTCAAACGTGCATTTTAAGTATTAGTTTCTCTTTCTTTAAGTATTTAAACATAAATTATATTTTATTATAATTCCAGTCCTAAAATCTGATTGGTTGAGTCGCATTCAACGTGGTCGTAAAATGCATACACCATGACCTCCTCACATTAGCTGAACTCTGTATTACTGCACCACGAAAAACCCTTGTGCTGTTAATGGAACAGCTCGCATGGACCACCATGTGTCTTGATGAAGAAGGTACTGATAAGAACACATAGTTTAAACTATGGGACTAGCAGCTTATTTACTCAACTAGCCACTAGGCTGGTCAGCTAGCTAACAGGCTAAAACAACTCCATCATTAATATCACAGGCTTGAATTAAATTACTTACGGTATGTTTAACTGTAAAACAGCAGTATAAAAGTCTAAGACGTCACTTGAATGGATTACACACTTCAAGTGTCTGTGTTTCAGTCAGAAGTCGCGTCAAACCCAGGCTGAATCCCAAACAGCTCCGTACTCCCTAAATAGTGTGCTAATGTTGGGTTATGTAACGTAATCCCTGGTTCTTTGATAACAGAGTGAGGTGTTTCACTATGGGAATCGCCATGGGCGTGACCAACTACGGAAGCTCCAAGGACACTACGTCTGTCCATGACAGACAGGTCGACCTGCGACCTGGCTCCGCCCCTGCCCTATAGCCACGGTC